AAGTCATCGCCATTGTAAACGATAAACTGATTGATGCCTAGGACGTAATGGTGTAGAAAAAATTCCAACAGATGCGCATCATTTTTTCCGAAGTTACTGCTTATATTAAACGTTACTAAATCCAGACAAATCGCTAGTTGTGTTTGCGGCACGTTGCCTACTTGACCATTTTTAATAGGACGTAAACGAAGCATATGATTCGCATTGATCTTATCATTTTGGTCTGCATAAACAATGGTTTTGGGTGCCCCTATATCATTTTTGAGGCGACAGTAAAATATATAAGTTTTGAATACAACATCGCCATTTTCTTTTTCTTGACCCAAGTGCTGAAAACGAAACTTGCCTTGCGAAAAGTGTCCTCCATAATGTGCGCTACATCGAAAATTTACTACAGCGCCAACCGATGCAGTTACCAGTGATAAAACTTCGCCACCTGAAGAGACAAGTTCGTTGCGATGCCAGAATGAAGCATAGGCATGAAAGGAGTCCCCAATTAGCTGCCAGACCGGAATCGGGCGATTAAAATCAATTATGCCCTCATCCGTCCAGGTGAAATTACTTATTAATCGTAACTCTGTCGCATCTTTTCGACTAAAGAAGTTCACCGCATTCAGGACATCTTTCAAACGTGTGTTTTCGTTTTTGTATGTAAGCAAGACAATTATGCTTATACAAGAAATTACGACCAATAAGAGCTGGTGATATTTACGCATTGTTTATCTGTAAAATAACCATTCAAAGCACAGTATACTGCGATTCCAAGTCGATAAACAAATGTATTTAAGCTGAAATTAGTCGAGAACGCAGAACGTATACTTAAACGCAGTCTGTATACGCAGAATTTTGCCGATTACTGGAGCCCTCAGTGTTGCTTACTACACTGTTGCCACTCATCAATGAATTTTCATAAACTTACCCTTTGAACTACAATTTTTCGTGCTATAATAGATTTTAGCTAAATATAAACTACTTAGTTTTCAACAAAAACCTTATTCAATAGTAAATTTCAAATATTTTAAACATATTTTGAATAGGAACTTATATCTTTTTTACCATCTGTAAAACTGACGAAGTGGCAACCATCTAAAGAAGGAGAAATCAGCTGACACGGAAAAATCTAAATTCCGCAGATTTCTGCGCTACGGGCTACAACTACAGAAAAATTCTGCGGTGCTGAGTTTTCATTTACATGGCGCTTTGGTAAGACAGATCGTGTCAGCTGACTCGGGTTTACGTACCGGTAGGTTTACGTTCTTGACTAATTTCAGCTTTAGAGCAATTTAGAGGGTATGTAATTAGAAAAAAAAAGAAAAACAATTGCTAAATTACAGATTGACATATGAAAAGGGTTGTCGAAGCTAAGTATCAGGGTTGTACGAAAAAAGCACTATTTTTACCAAAGAACGTGGATACACTGGTTATAGTGCTGACTTCACACGAGGCAACCGTTGAAGCAACCAGGGACTTGGTTGCCTGAAGCACACGGAATTTCCGAACTGAGTAAGGGCCGGTTTCTCTATCTCCGGTTAACACTAATCCCCCGTTAAACATCGTTACGACCTTATCGACTCCCTGTTATATGCATGGAGTTAGAACGCGCGATTTTTTATTAAAAATTCTCATAATTTATATATATATTAAACGAAAGAAGATACCGAAAAGCATTGAACAGTGCACACATCTCATAAGGAAAAGTGAATTATTACGAAATACTAATACAGTGGCAGCACTATAGCTATTTTGGAATCTCGCGTTTCGGCTCGCAAAGATTGTCAACTTCTTTTTAATAACAAAATAATCTATCTTAGGTTGATAAAACTATGTGTTTCTTTAATAAATAACTTAAATTATATATTTTAATAGTGTTTAAAAAGTGAGAACAGGTGATTTAGTGAATCTTTGTCGGTGTAATTGCCCATAGCAAAGAACGTAAATGTATAAGAAGCGACAACTCGTTAAAGTCGGCGAGTGAGGTCTGAAAGGTTGAGATGAGGAGTTCGCGTCCGTTTTAACATCCATTTTCGTAAATGAATTCGCCGAACATATGGTTTCGCGGCGATAAAGAACGTTAAGAAAAAGTGACCGATGATGGAAATAATCAAATGAAATGTAAAAAAACATGGCCGCAGCTCTTTTTGTTTATTTGCTGACGGCATTTAACAATTTGCATGCGCATGTGCATAGATTTACTTTATTTTTTAATTTTAAGCAAATATAAGTAAATTAAATACATGCGCTATGCAAGACCTTTATAAGCTTCCTCTTTAGTATGGAAGCTGTAAACTTGCAATTTATGATGAAAATATACGTACATACATACATATGTACATATACGCATATGCCACTAAAATACAACAATAACAAATTCATTCATAAACGCATGCGCATATTCTTCAAGGTCAAACTCATTCATTCATAATTCAATGACCATACTTCTCCCCGCAAGTTCATCGCCCACAAGCGCAACTTCTGCGCGAGGCCACAAAAATTCTAAAATGTAAAATTGAAGAAATCACTGCCAGTCAAATGAAAAGTTGCAACTCCGCTGTAAAATCTGAGGACATTTGCAAAAATAACTTATCTCGAGCTTAGCCATTATTTCTCTAAACTTCTAAGTCACAGTGCTCCTTCCAACTTTTAAATTATTAATTAGTTGCTTAAGATTTTATTTTAATAAAAAAAAATAAACATACATTTTTTGCACAAATGGCCCATGATATTTTGATGTAAACTCAAAACTTCTAAAATCACATACATAAGTGGTTTTACAACAAATGTAACTTGGCAACATGGTTACCGTCACCAGCTTCGGTCATCAATTTTAAAATTTTTGTAAACCGATCGCTTACGATTTGTTTACAGTTGACTCTAGATACCACGAGCAACATATAAACGAATTCAAAAAATTTTATTATTTTGCATTATTGATAATTGCAAAGCTCTGAAGCATGTATAAGTGAGTGTATACATACAGACCTATTCTGCGTTGGTAACACAAATATTGTTTACTATCACGAAAAGATTCAAACACAAAATCGTACATTAACCTATTCTGTGTTAGTAATCAGATTTTTTTAACGGATAATAAAGCTCATCTCTTTGGTTAAACCCTTTTCGCATTCTGCGCACTTTTTTAACCAGTAAAATTTGTTACCCTCTCATAACCAGGTAACAAAATATTGCCCCATGAAATATGCAACTACAGAATTTCTACAAAACTTCACACCTGGAATGCTGAATAAATTAAAACGTTACCACGGTACCTATAATTGCGGTTACAAGAAGTGGTAACAATGTTTGGTAACAAAATTTGCTGGTTACAAAATATCCGGTAACAAGCAGATTAGAGCTACAAGAATTCAAGTTAGGGATGGCCTACTGTAAACGTACATATGTATGCGCGTAAATATGTCAGGACGCGGCATTTCGCAGGAATTTAAGAATTTGTCAAGATAAACATGGCGGAGGACGTGGGAGAGACGGAGACAACTTATGTTTCACATTTACGCGTTTGTTTTGGCGGAGGATGTGAGAAAGACGGAGACAACTCATGTTTCATATTTATGTGTTTATTTTTTGCATGCATATGAACAAAAAAATTGGAAAACATTTATTCTTGCCCGATAATAACAAAATGTATGCATACTCAAGTATAAATGCATAGATTTAAATTAAACTTATGCCGTCTGTATATAATAAACATTGGTTTTGTAAAAAAGCCGCCGTATACACACTTTATCCATCAAATCTGCCAACACACCATCTTTTTGCACACTTTAAATATGTAAATTTCCAGATGAAAACAAAACATAAGTACACTCATATATAAATGCATAGATTTCTTATTAAACTAATGCATTTTTATATAAAAGTACACTGGTTTTGTTTAAAATAATGAACACTTTTTATCCACAGACGCCAACAATCGGCACTTGCTGACAAACACTTGGCACTTACAAACACTTTTTATTATTAATAAGGACACTTTCACAAACAGGCACGTCAGTATCTTACACATTCACTGAATATTTTATATTTTGCACCTCCATTTATGTATTTTCTAAATTAAAATACATTTTTTCAATCACTTGTGCAAAATAATCACCGACATTCACATTTGCCGCTTCTGTTTTGTTTGCTTTTTCCGCATTCGAGGCGAAAATCAAAAATCTGCCGCGGACAGAGTCAAAAGGGAGACGAACTCCTCATCTCAACCTTTCAGATACGGTCAAAATCGTCGCGGCACATTTTCAAAGTAACGAGTTGTCGCTTCTTATACATTTACGTTCTTTGCACTTATTAAAAGAATGACAGATGGCACCTATCCAAAATATTTTTAAATATGGCATCATCACGCTGCGTCATTTCGAATCTGGCAGCATCAAGCCGCGTCATCTCAAATCTGGCAGCTTTGTCGACGAGTGCAGTCTTTGAGTGGTTTAGTGCGTGTATTTGATTTAAAATAATTCGTATTTTTACACTATTTTACTTAAAATAATATATATTTGTGTATTTCCAAGAACGGTGAGTGTTAATTATGCACTTTTTTTTATATTTTACTTGAAGATAATAGCAAAATTTAACAAAGTTTCGCCTCTGGGTGGCCGTCGTCGCCATTTTGGAAAAAAATTTCTCTGCTGAAAAGCGTATACAGAAAATTTTACCCATTTTTTCATCATTAGTATTTTACGTAATTTGGATGGATATTATTCCAAAGTCCAAATATTGATTAAAATTAAGACATAGTGGAAACACAATTTTTAGTCTACTTGCATATCGCTTTATCACTGGCGAAATCTATGTACATATGTAGGTTAAGTGTGCCTGAAAATCGGGATGATCAATTACACAAAAAAAAAAAAGATTTTTATCGGCCGAACTTACTACGCCCATTT